TTACACAGTTTTATTATTTCTGTTTTAACTGAATTGCAGGCAATAGATTTCCACCAGCAGAGTAACAAATCAAAGATTCAGCAATGACTGTATTTTCACTGCTTTTCCAGAATCTAAGTTCTGTACTTAGTACTTATAAATGTTGTGAAATTGATACAGCTGACCCGCCTCTTTATATTGTATGGACAATAGTTTGGTTTTGATCTGGGATAATGAAGACAGGTATAACTTACTCCAGACATCTATGCATCTTGGGTACTTGCCTCTTTCCTGGCCTGGAACTGACTGTGCATACAACTACTTCTTTCATTAAACTTAGTAAGGGGCAGTCCCTTTGCACATTCCCATGACTATGATTGGTTACAGGCAATTTTGTTGCCCTTGGAGATTGAACAGATAACATGGAACTCAAAGGATGATCTGCACAAATTCTGTGCTACACAGAATCAATTTGAGCTATTACAAAATGGCAGCAGGATCATAATGAATTTCCCCTAGAGTGCATCTGTAAATATGCTTTGAATCCTTCCGTATCTTGAATAAATCAAAATCAATTAATGTAAAAATAGAGCAAACTTAAATGTACTCTCTGGGACAAATTTGCTCATGCCATGAAGGGATACAGTGCCATTAGCTTCAAATTATGCAAAATGAAATGGTGCTTCCCATCTTTATTGTAGGCTGTTATTGTTTTTATTTCAATTCAATGTGAACAAGACTTTGGTAAATAACCATTAAAATCAAAGATGGATTTCTACCCTCTTAATCCTCTATTATGATAGTATCTAAGGGTACGTCTACATTTGCTCCCTAGTTTGGACTAGGGATGCAAATGTAGTGTAGCAAAATAGCTAATGAAGTGGGGATTTAAATATCTCGTGCTTCATTAGCAAGATCTCACCTGGCACGCTAGTTTGAATCACAGCTGATTGGAACCAGGAAGTGCGCGCTGGGACACGTTAGTTCGAACCAAAGCCCTTGGTTCGAACTAATGTTACTCCTCAAAAAACGTGTGTATTTCAGGGCATGTGTTTAACACTTCTGAACAACAAAACTTTTGTTGTTCCGTTGTCAGTGTAGACACTACCTTAGCTGATTGCTTCACACTGGTGCACAGAAATTGTGACAGGGCCAGAGTTGCACATATTATTAAAAGAAGCTGAGAAAAAGGAGGTTCCATTACATAATATTGACATTTGCATCCCTGACATTCTAATTAATTCACTGGCTACTTTTGTCATTTGTACACCTCACGTCTTATTTTGAATCTGCTATATATTATTGTGTTGAAGAAACTGAAAAAAAGAAAGGAAGGGTGTAAAGGGTCACCTAACCATGCAAAAGACATATTAAAACTGCTAAAAACAACCTCCTGGACTTTTATCTTCCAGTGGAGTACACAGCCAACCCCTCTGTTGCTTGAATTAGGCATAATAAAAACTGTGGAAAAACCCAAGAAAGCGAAAACTATGGCTGCATCTAATTTTCAAACACAGTGGATAAGAGGGCAGGCTCCAGCCATCTAGCAAGTGAGAGAGAAAACCAAGAGGTTGGCTGTTGTGCATTAATGAATTCAGGACTTGAAAGAGATCAGGCATTTCTAAAGAAAGGCAGCAAGGACAGAAGACAGTAGACAATGGCCAGTAGGGATAATGAAGGGCAAGGTCAGTTATGCTTGAAGAAAATGACTTCATTTTCTTCATTTATACCTGCTAGTAGATTTATGTATCTACTCACCATTTTGTTAGTAGGACCATACATATATACAGCACTGTCGTACTATTCAAAGAGTACAGGGTAAAGCCTTGGAACATTCCACACAAGGAGCTTGGTTTTATTACTAATGGGAGGGAGGCTAAATACAATGGCAGCAGAAGGAAAGGTTAGACAGGAAGGTGAGGAGCTACCATTTTGACAGAGGTGAGAAACACAAAGAATTAAATTAAAACACAGCAAGAAAAAACAAAAGCACACTCTGGAAATGTGTTCTTTTTGGAGAAGCCTGGGAAAACAAACAAAAAAATGGCCGAGTTTGCCAATTGCAATTGATTTTTCATTCTGCAATATCAACAACAGATTATTCAGTGGCCTAAATGAAAAGGCCAATGAGATAGCAACAAATTGCTCCTACACTATGAAGTGCATTACACATTTTCATTTTGGCAAGAAATGTGAGGTATCTCAGAAACAACAATTCCAGAGTATATTTAGTTACCAAAGCTGTGGCACACAAATGTCACATTCCCATGAGTCAACGCATTTAAAGAACCCCCTCGTTGCACCTCCGCACATATTCCCCAACATGCCTGTGCTGAATTAAAAGCTGAGCATATGGATGTGACATCATCAAGGCATCAATGTCACAGAAAATAAAGTAGCAAGTGGTTTCAGTAGAATTAGAGCGAAGTTGTTTCTGAGTGCAGGAAAAGAAAGAAAGCACCTTCTAAAAGAATAAACACAACCACTAAAGAACACCACACAGCACTTTGCAAAACAAAGGGAAAATGTTTAAAAACATAAAGAGATTTTGCGGGGGGTTTTTTGTAAACAAGTAAAGGGAAAAATGTCCACAGTGAAAGTGAAAACGAAAAAAATTTATAAAAGAATATTGAGCTTAACCTTGATCAGTTTAATATCGCATAACAACTCATTCCTTTGCCCTTTAAAAATATTGAATCAAAAGTAATTTTGGAACCAACCAGGGTCTGACTGGGCAAAGCAAGGAGTAACAGCACACAAGTACATGGTAATGGTAAACAACCATGCAGTCACCTCTGCCACCATTGTTTGTATGTAGACTACTTCCAGCTTTGTCAATATTCATAATTAAGCCCCAATGAATGCATATTATTTAAATGAGCTTGTCTAGTGCTAATAAGATTTTTTGGTAACCATCACCCACAGAGCAAGCAACCTCTTCATTCAGTAACTTGAACCAAAAGTCTTAAAATCCAAAAATACAATACATTTTTAATAATATTTCCACTGTGTGCTCTTCTGAAAGCTGCTTGTGCCCGGCAAATAAAATGCCTTTAAGATGTAGCCATCTGTCCATTAAGAGCACCGCTGTACAAAACAGTTATGAAGCAAAGAACCACACATAACAAATGGCATTAAAACTAAAATAAACCTTTGCATTCTTGGCATATTTATGACCAAATACTCCACTGGTGTAATTCATTAAATCTCCATAGATATTGCTAGAGCTACAACAATGTCCACCAGCTGAGAGGCTGGCTAACCCCCAGGATCTGTCTTTCCAAATTACAGATGCAGGCCTACTTAAGGGTAAATACATCTATTTAAGTGGATGGGAGGAGGCGGCAGCCAACCCTTTCTTTTGAGGGTGGTGTAGTGGGAAGGAACAGAAATACTTGCTCAGATTCGTGTGTATTATCAAAAGATAGATGAACAAAAACAAACCAATTACTTATCTGCCATTTACAGTGTTCCAGACTTATTGACCAGAGGAATTAAGGATTACAGGTAAATCATGCATTATCATTGAGTCATTTTGTTTTCCTTTCTGTAAGTACATGACAGACAGAAAAGCAAACATTCCTGCAGCTGTTACCATAGCAAGAGCTAATTGCTTTTACAATAAATCAAAGGGCCCAGCAACAAAGTAGGAGAAGCTTGCAGGCTCAAGGAGGATTACTATGCCATTTATCAAGGGGTCCACTTCAGAGTAAATCCACACTTTGATATTTGACCAGGGGTGGGCAAATACTGGTCCATGGGCTAGATCCAGTCTGCCAGGGTTACCTTCTAGTGCCCACCTTCTTGCTATATTTTCCTTCACAGCCACAGGTGATTGTTGGCCACGGATCACCGTTCCCAGCCAATGGGCACTGTGGGAAGTGGTGTCCCAGTCCATGGTGAGCCATGGTGGGATGAAAAGTGAGGTGTTCCCTTATCTATCCAACCTAAGGGCATTCTCAGATCATGCCTCCTGGATCAAGCCTCACATAAATGACAGCTGGGTGCAACCCAATCAAGAATATTTGGGGCAGGCTGGTTAATGAGAGTGTTCTAGGATACCCAGGCACTGCTCACAGGTGATGCAGGCGATTTGTTTTCAGATTCACACTCTGCCTGATTTGAAGCAGGGACTATGAATCGGACCTTGGTGTGTGCCCTAATCATTAGGCTATTGCTATAAATCTGTGTGGGGTTCTTTCTCTGTTTTTTCCATGAGAGAAGAATGAGTCTGGCTGAGGTTTCTAACTTCAAGAGAGTGTTTCCCTGCAATCCTAAGTGGAGATAAGTGGTTTCCTCTGGTCCAGAGTTAGCTGCCCAACCTTGAATGGCAAGGCCCAAGTTCCATTCCTTCTCAGCATTTCCTGTTGACTAGATTAGGCAACTCTCCACTCAGCTTATTGGTTTCTGAAAATCCCCTTCTTAGTTGCCTATCACTTCCTATGCATTGTATAAGAAACCTGGGCACCTACCTCAGAGCTGTGGATTCTACTATTTGGCAAAGTGCCTAGTGCCCAAAGTCCCTTTCCGGATCTAGCCATAAGTGCTCTTGAAAATTCAATCTGGCATCTCTTTGCATCTTTCAATGCATATATACCTTCATAAACTTATCCAATACATTTCCATGTCTCTCAGTTTCCCTATCTAACTTACAGGGGCATGAGGCTAAATTAATTTCAGTATGCTGAACACTTTCCAGCCCTCAGATGGAAAAACTGTAGCTCGGAGTGTTAATGGTATTGTAAAGCAGTAGAAGTGGTCCATCATTAACTCATGAAGCTTACACAGGGTTAAAGCCCCACTTCCAAAGCTTTGTTTACATTTGTTTTGTGTGGGTTCTTTAGTCAGTGACTATTGAGAACTAAATCCTAGACTAGCTGTTTTGTTTCTGCCTTTTTGATAAGCTTTTAATTATAGTGAAGGAGCTTTATTGCATGATACTGTGATCCAGCTGGAAGTAGTTACACTGTAGTCACCCCGTCCTCCCCCTCCACCACATGGATTAATTTCCAAGGCCTTACCCTTCTTGTCTTGGTGATTATGGGATGAGACTGCTGCATATGGATCTGTGTTTTCAGATGAGCCAACCGGATCCTTCCAATCCAGCATACGTCCCCTAGTATCATAACCCTCTTGAGCCGGAGAGTCAGAAGTGGTGGTGCTTGGAACTAGTGAACTGGCATGGCCTGTTTTTACATTGCAAATACAGTTAGGGAAGACACCACAACATTAGTCACTCACTATGCTGTCTCACACTTAGGAGCATAAAATAATCAGCACGTTTCATGAATGCTGGAAGGGTTTCCTGAGACCAAGCAACCCTTTAAAAGCATTTTTCAACACTGCCCAAAGGAAATACAGATTATGAATTTGTTAGTGTTGTGAGAAACTAATTAGAGTGGGCATATGTGTACCTATGTCAGTGGGAGACATGGGCCTTGGTTATAATCAAAGTTTCACTGGTTTACCTAAAGGTTTTGGTTTGAACTGGTGCAAAATAGGGATGTGAACGACTAGTTGATTAGTTGCTTCCCCCCTTGATGCCTCTATCAGAAAGAAGCAGGAAGGGGAGAGAGGAAAGAAAGAGGTACGTCAAAGCGGAAGTCCCATGTGGAGCCTGGGGCCAGACCCCGGGCTCCATGCAGTGCTGCCACTTTGAAATGCTGCGAGGAGCCTGACACCAGGCTCCCCGTGGCATTTCAAAGCAGCAGAGCCGCACAGAGCCTGGGGTCAGCGGGGGAATCCCCAGCTGACCCTGGGCTCCACGGGGTGCTGCCACCTTGAAATGCTGCAGAAGCCTGATGCTGGGCTCCCCACAGCGTTTCAAAGTGGCAGCGCCGCATGGACCCTAAGGTCAGCGCGGGAGTTCCCTGCTGACCTTGGGCTCCATGCAGCGCTTTCGCCTTTCAAGTTCAAAGGCAGAGGTGCCGTATCGACGCGACTACTTGATTAGTCAGTTACATAGTATTTAACATCTCTCGTGCAAAACATGGCTTGGTTCACTCTTTCTACAATTTTAGTCCAGCCAGCTTAAGTCTGTAAGGCATTGAGCTAAACCAAGATAAACCTGGTTTACACTGAATTAAGCATGTCCACACAGTTTTGGACTGGCTTAATTTAATTGATTTTTAAAACCAACTGAAAGTAAAACTGGACAAAGTTTCATATAGACATTCTTAAGGAGAATTACATTAACTGTGGCAAAGAGAAGTCAACTGATTCCCGTCTCATGCTCTCAGGGGCAGGAGAGAGTCCGGACCCGACAATGTTCCCATGATAGCACTGATGTTTTGAAAAGCCACAAGCTCTGGGAATGGCTTAAGACTGTTTTAATGCTTTGGAGTGGTTTACAGCCAAATGGATGTATTAGTGTGAAGAAAAGGGGTCCCTATTCTAGGGCTGTGTCTACATTGGCAAGATTTTGCACAGTGGAAAAACTTGCCACCTGTCTACACTGGCGGGGAGTTCTTGCACAAGAACGCTGACGTTCTAATGTAAGAAATCAGGGCTTCTTGAGAAAGAACTATGACGCTCCCACTCAGGAAAAAGCCATCTTGCGCAACTGTTCTTGCGCAAGAGGCCAGTGTAGACAGGCAACATGAATTTCTTGCGCAAGAAAGCCCAATGGCTAAAATGGCCATCAGGGCTTTCTTGTGCAAGAGAGCATCTACACTGGCACAGATGCTTTTGCGCAAAAGCACATGCCAGTGTAGACGCTCTCTTGTGCAAATACTTTTAATGCAAAAACTCTTACGTTAAAAGTATTAGTGCAAAATCTTGCCAATGTAGACGTAGCCTCGGAGTATAAGGATAGCTGTCAAGCACCAGCTTATTAGGTCCTGGCTCTATTCACCTGATCTAGATCAGGATCACAAAAGTCAATACCCTTGTCTCATGACCATGATCTACTGACTGCAGTGGCCACCACAGCAAGGTCCAGGTGAGATTTGTCTGCCAACTGCCTTAGTGTAGAATGCTAGTTTTTTTAATCAATCCAGGCCCCTTCAAGCCTTAATTAGTTCCGGCTTAAGAAAAGGGTTTTTTTTCCAAGCTGTTTATTTGACTGCAAACCACTTTGTGTTTTCTATGGAGGCTGTTGCAATTTAGCATGCACTGCAGGAGACATACTCTTAAGGTTTATAGGTTTTTTTCCATGGAGTTTTATAACAATTCTGCAATCATTATTGCTGTTTTTAACTATAGAGGTTGTGGCAATCACCTTTGACATAGTTCAGATTAACTAACATGTTCAGGAGGCATGTCAGCCAGGCACAAGGCAGTTTTCTCATGAAGTGGACTTTAGCTGGGGAAAGTGCCATGGTATTGAACTGATCTCTGTGCGTTCAATGGTCCTTATACCACTTCACAAGACTGAGTTGCAAATGAACTCAGTGAAAAGGCAGAAACTTTTATTAAGTTGCTGCTATGATTTAGAGCAGGGATGGGCAATAATTTTTTGCTGGGGAGCCACTTCAAAAATTTCTGAAGTGGGTCTGGGCTGCACCGGAAGGGGCGGGGCCTCAAGTGGAAAGGGCATGGCTGGGATACGTCTGGATTCCCCCCCTCATGATTGGTCTAGGCGTGGGGGAGTGCCTTTGTGTACCCGCCACCCCCACCCACCACCTCTTTTTCCCTTAGATGCACAAGCCAATCAGGGGCTGGGGGCAGGGGAGCGTGTGAAGTTTCCTTCACTCTGGCCCCGCCCTGCACAGTGCTTAAAAGTGCCACACGCTCCTGGCAGGGCAGGAGGAGGCTTCACACACTCCCCCGCCCTCAGGCCAATGAGGGCCTGGGGATAGGGGAGCGTGCAAAGTCGTCTTCCACCCTGCCAGGAGCGCCTGGCACTTTAGTGCTGCAAGCTCCTCATAGGGTGGGGGCAGGGCGGAGGAAACTTCGCACGGTCTTCCATCTCTAGGCCTTGACAGAGCGGGGGAAACTTTGCGTACTCCTCTCCTCTTCCCGTCCAAACTGATTGGAGGTGGGGGAGCAGCAGGGCCTCTGTAAGCCAGATCCACCCCCGATTTAGAGTTTCACTACTGAATTATTGTAGAGAAAAAGAAAATGCTTTTGTGCGTCCATATACTTTTGAGGAGGTCTTTTGAGTCATCACACAGATTTACATGTGGCAGCACTTTGAACAGTATTTAACACAAGCCATGCATGAAGCTGTCTCCTGTATATAACTGATACAATTTTCAGGAAAGGAGGTCAGCTCCAGTGTTTTTACCATGGATCCAATCTTGAGATGCTACAGCTAATCATTAACAAGATTAATTTAGCTCTGTACCCCAGGCTGAAGGATGATACTGACAAGGGTACTGTATTATTCTTTAATCTAGCATGACAGGAAGTGTGGTTCCATTATCAGTCTTTCTAAAGTACTGCAAATTAGAGGCTGCATTTTGTTTAAATAGAGCATTTTTTAAATTTTGCTTCAATAAAGAGAAGCCAAGTGGTTATACATGTCTAAAGACCTCTGAAAAACCAAGAGCATTGCTAGAAATACTGTTAGCAAATTCGGTTTAGAATCCATCAATGTAACTTATCTCCAGGAATTCCAAAAGCCTCTTTTCTAAAGGGACTAGTACAGATCCAGTTACTGAAAACATGTGACTTCCTGAAATAGGAATATACTGTAGCTGTACGGCTTTTCTACTGTTCTTACTTATGCCTGTCAACTCCTGTGCTCATCCCAAAGAAATAACAGAAGCAACAGGACAGAAACAATTTAGGGTACATCTACACTGCAAGCTTCTTTCAAAAAAGTTTTTCCAGAATACATCTTCCGGAAAAACTTATTTTGAAATAGAGCATCCACATTACAGGGAAGCCTCAAAATTAGTCTGGGGCAGGCTCCCCTAATGTGGATGCACTATTTCGACTTGGAGGCACTGGTGAGGAATACCTTTAGAATGGCCCTGGTGAAGAGCTATTTTGACATAGCAGCACTGAAACATCTACACTCACCCTATTCCGAAAAAGCTTTTTCAGAATAGGGCTTATTCCTCATGGAATGAGGTTTACTGCCATTAGAAAAAACCGTCCGTTATTTTGACTTTCTGTTGAAATAACGCAATTGCAGTGTGGACGTTAGTATTGTTTTTCTGGAATAATGGCTGTTATTCCAGAAAAACGGTGCATTGTAGATGCACCCTTAGAAAGTGGAAGTTATGGGCTTTCTCTGCCTTCTTTTCCCTAAATACAAAACCACTGCCAGTATTCATAAGGCTCCAAACTACAACTTGACACACATTCACCAACTGCAATACTGTACAATATTTGATCAGCCCTACATATAATGCTACACTCAACATAAGAAAGCAGTTAGTTCTAGCTTAATAAGGAATTAAGAGAAAACACTGTCAAATAGCAGGCATAATTTATACCTGCATTTGATATGTATTTTGTGTCCTCCATCTCCATGCAGACACTTTCAATTAAGCTGTGTTCAAGGGGAAATTTTATGGTAATGCAATAAGTATAGTTAAAGAAAAAAACATTGCTTCATACAGTAATATAGGGGAAAGATATGCCTAAGGGACACATTCTTTATGAAAAGATTTCCTGACCCATATGCTACAAATGCATGGAGAACTCCTTGGTAATGGAAAGCTATGGATATATGATGATATTAATGTGTACCAGATGGCATTTAGGTAGAGAAATGTTTCACACAAATGTAAGAAATCAATCTATTCTCTCAAACACATTGAGATTTGACTTTCTATATGTAACTGAGGTGCACTTGCTTACATCTGATTTACCTGAGTGTGGGGCAGCAGCAGATTAGAAATAGCAATCTTTCCCATTTGGGGTCAGGCTAGATCCTGAAAACACTGCTGGACACAGAGTTTGTTCCCCTTGGTAGGCTCACTGTGCCCTATGAGTGTTGACACCATCACTCCCTTGTGAAATTCAGATTTATGATGGTGCACTGCTTAGGCATATGTGCTGCTTAAGCAATGAAAATAAGGGTTACAAATGCTGCATAGGCTTAGTGCTGCCTCACAGCGCAGGAGTGACTTTTGCCCATAGTGATTATTGTTCCTCAGCAATGCTTCTCATATGCAATGTTACATAACATGACTTTCTCTCAAGTATACTAAGGCTACTTTATACCACTCTGTCTGCATAAAGTGGCCTTAAGTTATATTCACACCCACTTAAAAACCCTGGTACATAACTACAACAATGTAAAATGGCTTTTCATAAATAGGAACCAGGCCCTATAGCTCTATTTTAACATGGCTTATGTTTTAAAATGTCTACAGTTACTACCTCATTAGGATTGTGTTGTTGTTTTAAACTACCCCCATTTGAATAACTATGGATTTATAGTACTCCTAAAGCTCTGATTTTGAAAGCAGATGTTTCAGGACGCATGCTGTTTGGAAAAAAAAGTGATTTAGTGATTAATTTGTGAAGCTTTTCGTTTGCAAGTCTGTAATCACAATAATACAGCAAGAACAAGCAATCAGATGTAACTAGAGTAGTGCACATTGAGGAAGTTGGAAGCGGTAATATGGTTAGTGTCTGTGAGCACTGCTGATGAGTCAGAAGAACTGTACTTCTATAACTACAGTTTATTCTTACCATGTTCTTATGCAACAAAGATGAACTTTTTAGCTTGAACACAAAGTCAGGGATGCAATGTGGATTTAATAGCTGCTCTAATATGTGGAAGGTGTTAAAGACTCCAGAGATTAAGATGTTCCACACACTATACTATTAACAACTGTAGCAACCTAATTAGACAATTAGAGGAAAAAGCTAAATCAATACTACAACGGGGAAAGGAATGTAGCTAGGAGGGGTAAAATAAGGGCCCAATTCACTAAAAATTGATGGTTAAAAAAGAATTTACTTGCATACAATTTTGCAGAGGGGAAAGCTTGCTGTCAGGTAAGAGTCCTAGCCTTTCATTGAAATATGTGGCTTTTAGTTCATATGTATCTGACTTTCACAGAGTGACCTTCTTCATGGGTATGGCAAAATGAATGTGCATGAATGAAGAGTCATTTATGTGGGCTTTCCACTTTATCACTTGATTATAGATGATCATGTGAGGCTGCCCCATATGCCAAATTCAGGAGTACCCTGATGCCAAGAATACAAAGATTAAGGGCTTGACTATCTTCTCACTTACGCTGCCATAAATAAGGAGAGCCGCGAGGAAGTGGAGCACACTTGGCAGGCACACAGATTTGCTTCCCCATGGCTCCTGCCACCCTGGAGGGGGAGAGGGAGTTTGACCGCTGCTCCCCTGGGTAATCCTTAAAGACACGCCCTGTGGGATGGGGTGCCATAGGGCGGGGGAAGAAGAATAGGCGGTGAGGGGAAGGAGTAGGGTTTGGGAAATGGAAATCAATAGCCCTCCTTCCACTCGCAGGCCAGATTTGCAACTGCTCTGGCCAGGGATGGCCTGCGGACTGGGAGTTTGAGATCCCTTCTGTATACCCAGGCCAGAGTAAAGATCAAGTCTGCCTTGACATTTTTTACCTGAGATAAGAACAGCTGTTTAGGGTAAGAATTTCCATGTAACAAGTTTCTTCATGGATTAGAACTAGCTGGCATTGTTTATTGAAACGTAGTAACTTACTTTGAGCTGTCTGTTTTCATTTGCAATCACTTAAATCCTATTTGTTATACAGGCAGTCCCCGACTTACACGGATCTGACTTATGTCGGATCCGCACTTGCAAACGGGGCTTTTCTCGCCCCGGAGCTCACGGGGGGCGGGTCGCTGCTCGTGTCCTCCAGGGCGAGAAAAGCTTCTCCTGGTCTCCCTGGTCTGTTGGGGGGGTCCAGCAAAGCCGCTGGACCCCCCCCAGCAGACCAGGGACACCGGAGCAAAGCCGCCACCTGGGCAGCTTTGCTCGTTTGCCCGGGAGCTAAGCCGCCCAGGCAGCGGGACCCCCGCCGCCTGTGCGGCTTTGCTCGGGGGCAAAGGAGCAAAGCCACACGGGCGGCGGGGGCCCTCCAC